TGGCTTGAAAAATTTTAAAATATTGATTCAAGCTAAAAAAAATAATTGAAAACTTGCTTTATATTTGGCTGAACTGCATGCCTTGTCTGAGCAATGATGATGCATGAGTCTGTATGTGCATGAGTCTGTATGTGCATGAGTCTGTATGTGCATGAGTTTAGGCTGACCTGCATGATGTCAGACTGTTGTCCACATCTTACAGCTGTCTGACAACCGTTTTGCTTGGTTGGACAATATGACCTCAGTACCCTACTTTAAGCTTATTAGATTTAAAACCTGTTGTGTTGCCAAGTAGTTTACGCCATTTTTTGTTGAGATTTTGATATTTTTTTATACTTTGTTTTCATTGTTTTTTATTTTACTTATTCCCCATTTGTATTGCCCCTACAACACAAGTAAAGCTGTGCTATTATAAACTTACTAAACCTTATGTATCTTTCCTTGATGTTTAACATGTATTCTAACAGATGACAACATAACATGAATCTGAACAGTTATTATTTGACATGTATAACATTTATTGTAGCAAATGACATGCATAACATGTATCCTAACCAATCTTTCTAAGTATATACTACCATGACATTTATAAATGTATCCTAACCAATATTTTTAAGTATATACTAACATGACATTTTATAAATGTATCCTAACATTAAATGTAGTCCAGTGTTTTCTAATGATGTCTTTAACCTAATAAGTGGTTTATCTTGGGAGAAAATTGTCCTGGTAGGAAACACCCATTACATGGTATTTGTGCACACATTTGACACTCCAAGAGGTTTTTGGCATCATATCCACCACTGTGCTACATGTCAAGTCCACTCACTACATTTGTACTATGTCCACACACTACCTCTATAACATGTCTCCACACTACCAGTGCTACATCCCCACACTACCTCTGTACAATGTCCCTACACTACCTCTGTACAATGTCCCCACACTACCTGTGCTACATCCCCACACTACCTGTGCTACATCCCCACACTACCAGTGCTACATCCCCACACTACATCTGTACAATGTCCCCACACTACCTCTGTACAATGTCCCCACACTACCTGTGCTACATCCCCACACTACCTGTGCTACATCCCCACACTACCAGTGCTACATCCCCACACTACCTCTGTACCAGGTCCCCACACTACCTCTGTACAATGTCCCTACACTACCTCTGTACAATGTCCCTACACTACCTATGTACAATGTCCCTACACTACCTCTGTACAATGTCCCTACACTACCTCTGTACAATGTCCCTACACTACCTCTGTACAATGTCCCTACACTACCTATGTACAATGTCCCTACACTACCTCTGTACAATGTCCCTACACTACCTCTGTACAATGTCCCTACACTACCTCTGTACCACGTCCCCACACTACCTCTGTACAATGTCCCCACACTACCAGTTCTGCATCCCCACACTACCTCTGTACAATATCCCCACACTACCTCTATAACATGTCCCCACACTACCAGTGCTACATCCCCACACTACCTCTGTACAATGTCCCTACACTACATCTGAACCATGTCCCTGTAACATAGCTATATACTCTGTTGTACATCCCCATTATATTGCTGGTTCCTTCAGTATACCAATATTCCATCCTAGTACGCCTCACCCTTCCATCCTAGTATGCCTGACACCTCCATCCTAGTACGCCTCACCCCTCTATCCTAGTAGGCCTCACCCCTCTATCCTAGTAGGCCTCACCCCTCTATCCTAGTATGTCCCCCGCCTCCATCCTAGTACGCCTCACCCTTCCATCCTAGTACGTCTGACACCTCCATCCTAGTACGCCTCACCCCTCTATCCTAGTACGCCTCACCCCTCTATCCTAGTAGGCCTCACCCCTCTATCCTAGTAGGCCTCACCCCTCTATCCTAGTATGTCCCCCGCCTCCATCCTAGTACGCCTCACCCTTCCATCCTAGTACGTCTGACACCTCCATCCTAGTACGTCTGACACCTCCATCCTAGTACGCCTCACCCCTCCATCCTAGTATGTCTGACACCTCCATCCTAGTATGTCTGACACCTCCATCCTAGTACGCCTCACCCCTCCATCCTAGTATGTCTGACACCTCCATCCTAGTATGTCTGACACCTCCATCCTAGTATGTCTGACACCTCCATCCTAGTACGCCTCACCCCTCCATCCTAGTATGTCTGACACCTCCATCCTAGTATGTCTGACACCTCCATCCTAGTATGTCTGACACCTCCATCCTAGTATGTCTGACACCTCCATCCTAGTATGTCTGACACCTCCATCCTAGTACGCCTCACCCCTCTATCCTAGTATGTCCCCCGCCTCCATCCTAGTACGCCTCACCCCTCTATCCTAGTACGCCTCACCCCTCTATCCTAGTACGCCTCACCCCTCCATCCTAGTATGCCTGACACCTCCATCCTAGTACGCCTCACCCCTCTATCCTAGTACGCCTCACCCCTCCATCCTAGTATGTCTGACACCTCCATCCTAGTATGTCTGACACCTCCATCCTAGTATGTCTGACACCTCCATCCTAGTATGTCTGACACCTCCATCCTAGTACGCCTCACCCCTCCATCCTAGTATGTCTGACACCTCCATCCTAGTATGTCTGACACCTCCATCCTAGTATGTCTGACACCTCCATCCTAGTACGCCTCACCCCTCTATCCTAGTATGTCTGACACCTCCATCCTAGTATGTCTGACACCTCCATCCTAGTATGTCTGACACCTCCATCCTAGTATGTCTGACACCTCCATCCTAGTATGTCTGACACCTCCATCCTAGTACGCCTCACCCCTCCATCCTAGTATGTCTGACACCTCCATCCTAGTATGTCTGACACCTCCATCCTAGTACGCCTCACCCCTCTATCCTAGTAGGCCTCACCCCTCTATCCTAGTAGGCCTCACCCCTCTATCCTAGTATGTCCCCCGCCTCCATCCTAGTACGCCTCACCCTTCCATCCTAGTACGTCTGACACCTCCATCCTAGTACGTCTGACACCTCCATCCTAGTACGCCTCACCCCTCCATCCTAGTATGTCTGACACCTCCATCCTAGTATGTCTGACACCTCCATCCTAGTACGCCTCACCCCTCCATCCTAGTATGTCTGACACCTCCATCCTAGTACGCCTCACCCCTCCATCCTAGTATGTCTGACACCTCCATCCTAGTATGTCTGACACCTCCATCCTAGTACGCCTCACCCCTCCATCCTAGTATGTCTGACACCTCCATCCTAGTATGTCTGACACCTCCATCCTAGTATGTCTGACACCTCCATCCTAGTACGCCTCACCCCTCCATCCTAGTATGTCTGACACCTCCATCCTAGTATGTCTGACACCTCCATCCTAGTATGTCTGACACCTCCATCCTAGTATGTCTGACACCTCCATCCTAGTATGTCTGACACCTCCATCCTAGTACGCCTCACCCCTCTATCCTAGTATGTCCCCCGCCTCCATCCTAGTACGCCTCACCCCTCTATCCTAGTACGCCTCACCCCTCTATCCTAGTACGCCTCACCCCTCTATCCTAGTACGCCTCACCCCTCTATCCTAGTACGCCTCACCCCTCTATCCTAGTACGCCTCACCCCTCTATCCTAGTATGTCCCCCGCCTCCATCCTAGTACGCCTCACCCCTCTATCCTAGTACGCCTCACCCCTCTATCCTAGTACGCCTCACCCCTCCATCCTAGTACGCCTCACCCCTCTATCCTAGTACGCCTCACCCCTCCATCCTAGTATGTCTGACACCTCCATCCTAGTATGTCTGACACCTCCATCCTAGTATGTCTGACACCTCCATCCTAGTATGTCTGACACCTCCATCCTAGTACGCCTCACCCCTCCATCCTAGTATGTCTGACACCTCCATCCTAGTATGTCTGACACCTCCATCCTAGTATGTCTGACACCTCCATCCTAGTATGTCTGACACCTCCATCCTAGTACGCCTCACCCCTCCATCCTAGTACGCCTCACCCCTCCATCCTAGTATGTCTGACACCTCCATCCTAGTACGCCTCACCCCTCCATCCTAGTATGTCTGACACCTCCATCCTAGTATGTCTGACACCTCCATCCTAGTACGCCTCACCCCTCTATCCTAGTATGTCTGACACCTCCATCCTAGTATGTCTGACACCTCCATCCTAGTATGTCTGACACCTCCATCCTAGTATGTCTGACACCTCCATCCTAGTATGTCTGACACCTCCATCCTAGTACGCCTCACCCCTCCATCCTAGTATGTCTGACACCTCCATCCTAGTATGTCTGACACCTCCATCCTAGTACGCCTCACCCCTCCATCCTAGTATGTCTGACACCTCCATCCTAGTATGTCTGACACCTCCATCCTAGTACGCCTCACCCCTCCATCCTAGTATGTCTGACACCTCCATCCTAGTATGTCTGACACCTCCATCCTAGTATGTCTGACACCTCCATCCTAGTATGTCTGACACCTCCATCCTAGTATGTCTGACACCTCCATCCTAGTATGTCTGACACCTCCATCCTAGTACGCCTCACCCCTCCATCCTAGTATGTCTGACACCTCCATCCTAGTATGTCTGACACCTCCATCCTAGTATGTCTGACACCTCCATCCTAGTACGCCTCACCCCTCTATCCTAGTATGTCTGACACCTCCATCCTAGTATGTCTGACACCTCCATCCTAGTATGTCTGACACCTCCATCCTAGTACGCCTCACCCCTCCATCCTAGTATGTCTGACACCTCCATCCTAGTATGTCTGACACCTCCATCCTAGTATGTCTGACACCTCCATCCTAGTATGTCTGACACCTCCATCCTAGTACGCCTCACCCCTCCATCCTAGTATGTCTGACACCTCCATCCTAGTATGTCTGACACCTCCATCCTAGTATGTCTGACACCTCCATCCTAGTACGCCTCACCCCTCCATCCTAGTATGTCTGACACCTCCATCCTAGTATGTCTGACACCTCCATCCTAGTATGTCTGACACCTCCATCCTAGTACGCCTCACCCCTCTATCCTAGTATGTCTGACACCTCCATCCTAGTATGTCTGACACCTCCATCCTAGTATGTCTGACACCTCCATCCTAGTACGCCTCACCCCTCCATCCTAGTATGTCTGACACCTCCATCCTAGTATGTCTGACACCTCCATCCTAGTATGTCTGACACCTCCATCCTAGTACGCCTCACCCCTCCATCCTAGTATGTCTGACACCTCCATCCTAGTATGTCTGACACCTCCATCCTAGTATGTCTGACACCTCCATCCTAGTATACCTCCATTCTAGTCTAGTTCACCACCTGCCTCAATCCTATTATACCTGCAGATATTTTGAACTATGGAGCCACTTACCAATTCAGCCATATTTTACTTACCTCTCACTATTAAGTCTACTCTTAGTATGCTTTAAAAAATAATTCAACAAAGACCTCAAAAAATTACTTTAATAAAAAAGTGGCAGTTAGAAAAGTATTAACTAGACTAATCGTAGTCAGATAGTGGAAAATTTCTGTTTTGTTGCTTTAACTGTTAGCTGTTAGCCCGTAGTTTTCTATCTTTATTTCAACTGAAATTTTAAAAACTCTGAATTATGTCAAAGTAGGGTTGAAAAGTTTGATTAAAATGGTGTTGTGTTTGTTTTTCTTTAGGATTTTGACATCGACCCAGAAGAGTCAGGTGACCAAGTGGATGAGCTTCTAGCAGCTTGTGTGAGGCAAGCAACATCCCAAACATCATAAACTCAGACATTTTAGAACATCATGATGTGTGTGTATGAGGCTAAAAACACCCCAAACAACACAGGTGCGTTTGGACAGCATGATGTGTGTGTGAGCAACATCCCAAACATGATGAAGTCAGACAACAAGTGTGTACAAGTTTGGACAGGCCAGGCTGGAGGAGATACAGGCCAACCCTGATTGACATGGCAGTGGTCAGCCCTGATTGACATGGCAGTGGTCAGCCCTGATTGACATGGCAGTGGTCAGCCCTGATTGACATGACAGTGGTCAGCCCTGATTGACATGACAGTGGTCAGCCCTGATTAACATGGCAGTGGTCAGCTCTGATTGACATGGCAGTGGTCAGCCCTGATTGACATGACAGTGGTCAACCCTGATTGACATGACAGTGGTCAGCCCTGATTGACATGACAGTGGTCAGTCCTGATTGACATGACAGTGGTCAGTCCTGATTGTCATGGCAGTGGTCAGCCCTGATTGGTTGGTAGTGGGGACACTTATCTAGAGTTGTAGGTTTAGTGCCTTGATGAATGTCAAATAGAGGAACTGCCTTATATGTGGAGCTACAACACCTAGCTACTAGGCCAAATGTTAATGTTAGAATCTACCCATTCATGTCTTAGTGTTAGTGGACCAGTTTTTGATTTTCAATGTAAGGGAGGCTAGGCTAGGCTAGTGTCCACCCAGCCCACGGCCAGTGTCCACCCTAGGTTAGAGTGTCCTTTATGTCTGTTGTTGGCTGCACCACCAAGTCTTGTATCGCTTGAACCTCTACAACCTGGACCAAAATATATGGGTCACTTCTGGTCATTTCTTGTTGACTTTTAAATTTGCTCATGGTTTTAATGTGTCAATACTTTTTATGTAGCTTTTTGTTGGTCAGTTTTAAAGTGTTTTTTTCGCCTTTTGTTTTGATGTTCTATTGGCACTAAAGAATGCATTTAGTAAATGTACCCACACTTGAAGCTGGATAACCAACTGCAACAGCTTTGTGATTGTAAGCTGTCACTGCTGGACAACCAGCTGAAGCTGTTCTATAAGAATTGGCTGAAGGTTCATTCATTTGTCACATCTGGACAGCCATCTCTCTGAGAATTGGCTGAAGGTTCATTCATTTGTCACATCTGGACAGCCATCTCTCTGAGAATTGGCTGGAGGTTCATTCATTTGTCACATCTGGACAGCCATCTCTCTGAGAATTGGCTGAAGGTTCATTCATTTGTCACATCTGGACAGCCATCTCTCTGAGAATTGGCTGAAGGTTCATTCATTTGTCACATCTGGACAGCCATCTCTCTGAGAATTGGCTGGAGGTTCATTCATTTGTCACATCTGGACAGCCATCTCTCTGAGAATTGGCTGAAGGTTCATTCATTTGTCACATCTGGACAGCCATCTCTCTGAGAATTGGCTGAAGGTTCATTCATTTGTCACATCTGGACAGCCATCTCTCTGAGAATTGGCTGGAGGTTCATTCATTTGTCACATCTGGACAGCCATCTCTCTGAGAATTGGCTGAAGGTTCATTCATTTGTCACATCTGGACAGCCATCTCTCTGAGAATTGGCTGAAGGTTCATTCATTTGTCACATCTGGACAGCCATCTCTCTGAGAATTGGCTGAAGGTTCATTCATTTGTCACATCTGGACAGCCATCTCTCTGAGAATTGGCTGGAGGTTCATTCATATGTCACATCTGGACAGCCATCTCTCTGAGAATTGGCTGGAGGTTCATTCATATGTCACATCTGGACAGCCATCTCTCTGAGAATTGGCTGGAGGTTCATTCATATGTCACATCTGGACAGCTATCTCTCTGAGCATTGGCTGAAGGTTCATTCATTTTTGGGCATTGGTCACAGCTGGTCAGATGTTGCTTTAGGAATTATTTCTTCACACCCCTTTCCCCCTATCTACTTTAATGATAATGTAAAAATCTATCAGAAGTGTCTTGTATATTTCCTAAGCATTGTCTGTTTGCCTGATGAAATCATTATTGTACAGAAGCTCACTTGTGTGGAGACTTGCTGAGTTAGCCTGTGACTCTGGTCACTGGCTAGGTTAGAGCATGACCGGTCACTGGCTAGGTTAGAATGTGACCGGTCACTGGCTAGGTTAGAATGTGACCGGTCACGGGCTAGGTTAGAATGTGACCGGTCACTGGCTAGGTTAGAATGTGACCGGTCACTGGCTAGGTTAGAATGTGACCGGTCACTGGCTAGGTTAGAATGTGACTGGTCACTGGCTAGGTTAGAGCATGACCGGTCACTGGCTAGGTTAGAATGTGACCGGTCACTGGCTAGGTTAGAATGTGACCGGTCACTGGCTAGGCTAGAATGTGACCGGTCACTGGCTAGGTTAGGTCATGGGTTTTTGTGCAACATGTGCTGTGCCCAGGAAACTAGCACAAGCACCTTTTTTGTTGTACAACAGCCTGTGTCTATTGTACACCTGTCATTGTCCAGCCAGCACTACCATGTGTTGTAAGAGTAGGATCTGAATGTCAGCACCACACCAATGATGCAAGCACAACTCTGTTTATTCATTCAATGTTTTTTAATATACAAAACTTTTATTTGAAAAAAATTTCATGGCTAGAGACCATGTTTATGTCATATTCTGTGTATTAGCTTTTATCATGTGTATAAAGGAAATCATAATGTTGATAATAAATTTTCTTTTGATTATGATCAACAACTGGCTTTTTGTTTTGTTTTTGTTAATTACTGGAAGGCTGGGATGTGGGCTAGTTCTGTGGTCCCCACTGCCAGCCTGTGGTGTGGGCTAGTTCTGTGGTCCCCACTGCCAGTCTGGGGTGTGGGCTAGTTCTGTGGTCTGGGGTGTGGGCTAGTTCTGTGGTCCCCACTGCCAGTCTGGGGTGTAGGCTAGTTCTGTGGTCCCCACTGCCAGTCTGGGGTGTGGGCTAGTTCTGTGGTCCCCACTGCCAGTCTGGGGTGTAGGCTAGTTCTGTGGTGTGGGCTGCCAGCCTGGGGTGTAGGCTAGTTCTGTGGTCCCCACTGCCAGTCTGGGGTGTGGGCTAGTTCTGTGGTCCCCACTACCAGTCTGGGGTGTAGGCTAGTTCTGTGGTCCCCACTGCCAGTCTGGGGTGTGGGCTAGTTCTGTGGTGTGGGCTGCCAGTCTGGGGTGTAGGCTAGTTCTGTGGTCCCCACTGCCAGCCTGGGGTGTGGGCTAGTTCTGTGGTCCCCACTGCCAGTCTGGGGTGTGGGCTAGTTCTGTGGTCTGGGGTGTAGGCTAGTTCTGTGGTCCCCACTGCCAGTCTGGGGTGTGGGCTAGTTCTGTGGTGTGGGCTGCCAGTCTGGGGTGTAGGCTAGTTCTGTGGTCCCCACTGCCAGTCTGGGGTGTGGGCTAGTTCTGTGGTCCCCACTGCCAGCCTGGGGTGTGGGCTAGTTCTGTGGTCCCCACTGCCAGTCTGGGGTGTGGGCTAGTTCTGTGGTCCCCACTGCCAGTGTGGGCTAGTTCTGTGGTCCCCACTGCCAGTGTGGGCTAGTTCTGTGGTCCCCACTGCCAGCATGGGGTGTGGGCTAGTTCTGTGGTCCCCACTGCCAGTCTGGGGTGTGGGCTAGTTCTGTGGTCCCCACTGCCAGTGTAGGCTAGTTCTGGGGTCCCCACTGCCAGTGTGGGCTAGTTCTGTGGTCCCCACTGCCAGTCTGGGGTGTGGGCTAGTTCTGTGGTCCCCACTGCCAGTCTGGGGTGTAGGCTAGTTCTGTGGTCCCCACTGCCAGCCTGGGGTGTGGGCTAGTTCTGTGGTCCCAACTGCCAGCATGGGGTGTAGGCTAGTTCTGTGGTCCCCACTGCCAGTCTGGGGTGTGGGCTAGTTCTGTGGTTTGGGCTGCCAGCCTGGGGTGTAGGCTAGTTCTGTGGTCCCCACTGCCAGCCTGGGGTGTAGGCTAGTTCTGTGGTCCCCACTGCCAGTCTGGGGTGTGGGCTAGTTCTGTGGTCCCCACTACCAGCCTGGGGTGTAGGCTAGTTCTGTGGTCCCCACTGCCAGTCTGGGGTGTAGGCTAGTTCTGTGGTCCCCACTACCAGTCTGGGGTGTAGGCTAGTTCTGTGGTCCCCACTGCCAGTCTGGGGTGTAGGCTAGTTCTGTGGTCCCAACTGCCAGCCTGGGGTGTAGGCTAGTTCTGTGGTGTGGGCTGCCAGCCTGGGGTGTGGGCTAGTTCTGTGGTCCCCACTGCCAGCCTGGGGTGTGGGCTAGTTCTGTGGTTTGGGCTGCCAGCCTGGGGTGTAGGCTAGTTCTGTGGTCCCCACTGCCAGTCTGGGGTGTGGGCTAGTTCTGTGGTGTGGGCTGCCAGTCTGGGGTGTAGGCTAGTTCTGTGGTCCCCACTGCCAGTCTGGGGTGTGGGCTAGTTCTGTGGTGTGGGCTGCCAGTCTGGGGTGTAGGCTAGTTCTGTGGTCCCCACTGCCAGTCTGGGGTGTGGGCTAGTTCTGTGGTTTGGGCTGCCAGCCTGGGGTGTAGGCTAGTTCTGTGGTCCCCACTGCCAGTCTGGGGTGTGGGCTAGTTCTGTGGTTTGGGCTGCCAGCCTGGGGTGTGGGCTAGTTCTGTGGTTTGGGCTGCCAGCCTGGGGTGTGGGCTAGTTCTGTGGTTTGGGCTGCCAGCCTGGGGTGTAGGCTAGTTCTGTGGTTTGGGCTGCCAGCCTGGGGTGTGGGCTAGTTCTGTGGTCCCCACTGCCAGCCTGGGGTGTGGGCTAGTTCTGTGGTCCCAACTGCCAGCATGGGGTGTAGGCTAGTTCTGTGGTCCCCACTGCCAGTCTGGGGTGTGGGCTAGTTCTGTGGTGTGGGCTGCCAGCCTGGGGTGTAGGCTAGTTCTGTGGTCCCCACTGCCAGTCTGGGGTGTGGGCTAGTTCTGTGGTGTGGGCTGCCAGTCTGGGGTGTAGGCTAGTTCTGTGGTCCCCACTGCCAGCCTGGGGTGTGGGCTAGTTCTGTGGTCCCCACTGCCAGTCTGGGGTGTGGGCTAGTTCTGTGGTCTGGGGTGTAGGCTAGTTCTGTGGTCCCCACTGCCAGTCTGGGGTGTGGGCTAGTTCTGTGGTGTGGGCTGCCAGTCTGGGGTGTAGGCTAGTTCTGTGGTCCCCACTGCCAGTCTGGGGTGTGGGCTAGTTCTGTGGTCCCCACTGCCAGCCTGGGGTGTGGGCTAGTTCTGTGGTCCCAACTGCCAGCATGGGGTGTAGGCTAGTTCTGTGGTCCCCACTGCCAGTCTGGGGTGTGGGCTAGTTCTGTGGTTTGGGCTGCCAGCCTGGGGTGTAGGCTAGTTCTGTGGTCCCCACTGCCAGCCTGGGGTGTAGGCTAGTTCTGTGGTCCCCACTGCCAGTCTGGGGTGTGGGCTAGTTCTGTGGTCCCCACTACCAGCCTGGGGTGTAGGCTAGTTCTGTGGTCCCCACTGCCAGTCTGGGGTGTAGGCTAGTTCTGTGGTCCCCACTACCAGTCTGGGGTGTAGGCTAGTTCTGTGGTCCCCACTGCCAGTCTGGGGTGTAGGCTAGTTCTGTGGTCCCAACTGCCAGCCTGGGGTGTAGGCTAGTTCTGTGGTGTGGGCTGCCAGCCTGGGGTGTGGGCTAGTTCTGTGGTCCCCACTGCCAGCCTGGGGTGTGGGCTAGTTCTGTGGTTTGGGCTGCCAGCCTGGGGTGTAGGCTAGTTCTGTGGTCCCCACTGCCAGTCTGGGGTGTGGGCTAGTTCTGTGGTGTGGGCTGCCAGTCTGGGGTGTAGGCTAGTTCTGTGGTCCCCACTGCCAGTCTGGGGTGTGGGCTAGTTCTGTGGTGTGGGCTGCCAGTCTGGGGTGTAGGCTAGTTCTGTGGTCCCCACTGCCAGTCTGGGGTGTGGGCTAGTTCTGTGGTCCCCACTGCCAGCCTGGGGTGTGGGCTAGTTGTGTGGTCCCCACTGCCAGCCTGGGGTGTGGGCTAGTTCTGTGGTCCCAACTGCCAGCATGGGGTGTAGGCTAGTTCTGTGGTCCCCACTGCCAGTCTGGGGTGTGGGCTAGTTCTGTGGTCCCCACTGCCAGCATGGGGTGTAGGCTAGTTCTGTGGTCCCCACTACCAGCCTGAGGTGTAGGCTAGTTCTGTGGTCCCCACTGCCAGTCTGGGGTGTAGGCTAGTTCTGTGGTCCCCACTACCAGTCTGGGGTGTAGGCTAGTTCTGTGGTCCCCACTGCCAGTCTGGGGTGTAGGCTAGTTCTGTGGTCCCAACTGCCAGCCTGGGGTGTAGGCTAGTTCTGTGGTGTGGGCTGCCAGCCTGGGGTGTGGGCTAGTTCTGTGGTCCCCACTGCCAGTCTGGGGTGTGGGCTAGTTCTGTGGTCCCCACTGCCAGCCTGGGGTGTGGGCTAGTTCTGTGGTCCCCACTGCCAGTCTGGGGTGTAGGCTAGTTCTGTGGTCCCCACTGCCAGACTGGGGTGTAGGCTAGTTCTGTGGTCCCCACTACCAGTCTGGGGTGTAGGCTAGTTCTGTGGTCCCCACTGCCAGTCTGGGGTGTGGGCTAGTTCTGTGGTCTGGGGTGTAGGCTAGTTCTGTGGTCCCCACTGCCAGTCTGGGGTGTGGGCTAGTTCTGTGGTGTGGGCTGCCAGTCTGGGGTGTAGGCTAGTTCTGTGGTCCCCACTGCCAGCCTGGAGTGTGGGCTAGTTCTGTGGTCCCCACTGCCAGTCTGGGGTGTGGGCTAGTTCTGTGGTCTGGGGTGTAGGCTAGTTCTGTGGTCCCCACTGCCAGCCTGGAGTGTGGGCTAGTTCTGTGGTCCCCACTGCCAGCCTGTGGTGTGGGCTAGTTCTGTGGTCCCCACTGCCAGTCTGGGGTGTGGGCTAGTTCTGTGGTCTGGGGTGTAGGCTAGTTCTGTGGTCCCCACTGCCAGTCTGGGGTGTGGGCTAGTTCTGTGGTGTGGGCTGCCAGTCTGGGGTGTAGGCTAGTTCTGTGGTCCCCACTGCCAGTCTGGGGTGTGGGCTAGTTCTGTGGTGTGGGCTGCCAGTCTGGGGTGTAGGCTAGTTCTGTGGTCCCCACTGCTAGCCTGGGGTGTGGGCTAGTTCTGTGGTCCCCACTGCTAGCCTGGGGTGTGGGCTAGTTCTGTGGTCCCCACTGCCAGCATGGGGTGTAGGCTAGTTCTGTGGTGTGGGCTGCCAGCCTGGGGTGTGGGCTAGTTCTGTGGTCCCCACTGCCAGTCTGGGGTGTGGGCTAGTTCTGTGGTGTGGGCTGCCAGCCTGGGGTGTAGGCTAGTTCTGTGGTCCCCACTGCCAGCCTGGAGTGTGGGCTAGTTCTGTGGTCCCCACTGCCAGTCTGGGGTGTGGGCTAGTTCTGTGGTCCCCACTGCCAGTCTGGGGTGTGGGCTAGTTCTGTGGTCTGGGGTGTGGGCTAGTTCTGTGGTCCCCACTGCCAGTCTGGGGTGTGGGCTAGTTCTGTGGTCCCCACTGCCAGCCTGGGGTGTGGGCTAGTTCTGTGGTCCCCACTGTCAGCCTGGGGTGTGGGCTAGTTCTGTGGTCCCCACTGCCAGCCTGGGGTGTGGGCTAGTTCTGTGGTCCCCACTGCCAGTCTGGGGTGTGGGCTAGTTCTGTGGTCCCCACTGCCAGTCTGGGGTGTGGGCTAGTTCTGTGGTCCCCACTGTCAGCCTGGGGTGTGGGCTAGTTCTGTGGTCCCCACTGCCAGTCTGGGGTGTGGGCTAGTTCTGTGGTCCCCACTGCCAGTCTGGGGTGTGGGCTAGTTCTGTGGTCCCCACTGCCAGACTGGGGTGTGGGCTAGTTATGTGGTCCCCACTGCCAGACTGGGGTGTGGGCTAGTTCTGTGGTCCCCACTGCCAGTCTGTGGTCCTCAGATCTTCAAGAAGAGATAAATTTAAAAAAAAGCCTGTTTGTTTAAGTAACTGTCCACTCGCTCGGGAATTCTGGTTAGCGTGCAATTATGTCTTAATCTTCTAGAAACTCCTGTAGAACTTTTTGCATGTGTCAGGATATTACCACGCCCATAATCCCCAACTCCTATTCTCATTAGCCCAACACTTACCCCTTGCTATTTTCTCTTAGTCTTCTCCTGTTGAGGAGTTTACATGAGTCCATTTGAAAACTTTCACCCCTTCAAAGTATGAAGAGTCCTGGTTGGATCACGTGAGCGTGAAAACCAATCAAAAGCGGGGAATGAAGTTTGGCACTGCTAGTGCCCCTAAAGACTTGACTTGCCACAATCTCGGCCTCCATTAATATCTCGGTCCCCCCGGCCACACAAATTTGGAGGGGAATTCACAAACTCGAGCGTGAGGTCGGTTTAAAAAATACCCCACCCTTGCCCGCCCCTCCCCCCTGCAAAAGTTTGCTCTACGAGTCCCACATCTTATTAGTTGACCATAATTACCTCAAGCGAGTGGCCACGACAAAATGGCACCGCATAAATTTGTCTGCTGTATTTTGCTCATACGGGAGAAAAAGTAATGAACGTAGCGACAGATTAAAACATCAAACGGCTAAGCGTGTCGGGTGATGTTCACGTGACTATGATGTTCATTTTGGTTTGACGCCACTCTGTCAATTCACAATTAGTTGAACTGGGATTTTTAAGCTTATGGGACAGTACATAGAGGGGTGGTGTGTCCCGTTCCCCACCCCCAGAGCACGTCCACTACCCCCCCCCCCCCCTTATGAAAATTAAGAACAAAATTTAAATAGAAAATGTATATTTTAGCCATTGCCCCCCCCCCCCACACACACAGTCCGAAAGTTTTGAACGGTCACCTAAATAATAAAAATTAAATTCGATGGTTATTGATTAAACATTTTTTTTAGAAAACTTTTTTCCACCTCCCGATTACCGTTAGATGTCACTGCGGTTGGTGCACCAGCCTCGCGGAGGTCCAGCGTCTCTTCTCGTCAAGATCTCGTGTTTTCTCTCATGTTGTCGTACAAATGCCCGCTAGACGGCGCCAGTGTCTTCCGGGGTGACACATGAGGGCGTGTCACTAAGTTTATTCGAGGATAAATGTTGCCTCCTCTTGTTCTGCCGACATTCACCTTCCATCTACGGGTGCTCCGCTAGTGATAAGCGCTAGTGTTCTGTGCATGGTGCTACATCCGTTGTGTACGGGGATCTACGATAAACTGTGCTCCTTCCATGGTGTACGGGAACCTACGGTAAACGGTGCTCCATCCGTGGTGTACGGTAAACTAAAGGATGCCGGTATACAGTGCTCCATCCCTGTAATTTTTCGGTTATAATAAATACAGTATATGGTGGCGTCATTCTTCTTGACGTGGGGGGGGGGGGGGGGGGGATGTTCAAAATTAGTGACGTCACACTTGTACCTTTTGAAAAGTAATGTATTTTTTTTGCTGTACGCCTGACAACAAACTCCTTGTAAGCGCATGCGCCCCACGATAAACTAAATATTTCAGTCTACAGGACGTGCAATGGCTAGTTCTATGGCGGCATTGATTAACTAAATGATGATGAGAAATGCCCCAAATCTTGGGTTCTATTAAATGTTTATTTTGAAATTTCTATATAAATGTGAACTGTTGCTTTTTTTAAAAAAAAAGTTGTTTTTTTTTTCAATTTTAAAAAAATATAAATAAACTTTCATGCAAATTTTTAATAGCTTGTAATATTTATCTGTTTTTAAACTTCATGCATGCTGTTTATTGTAGAATCTAGTCCCCGTTAAGATCACTTTCAAGTTTGCTCTTTTTTGCCGAAATTCACGTTTTAATCTCCGACATTTGAGGTTAGTTTTGTTAAACAAGGTTGATTCTAATCGAGTAGATTTGTCCGTGAATTATTTTGTGGTGTCTATCCTAATGGCGTGTTTGAATATTTATAAAACTGGGTACAGCGATAAGCTAGCGATGTAATGATACAACCACGGAGGCTGTGTTGTCGAGGTAGTTTGAAGAATTATTAGGCTAAAAGGCTGCGTCTTTAAAATGTGTACATACATTGCATGAGTTTTTTTTTTTTAAATGTGGGAATTAAAATAAACAAGCTCTTATCAAATATTTACCATTTAATTTGTTACAATTAATTCATTTAAAAAATTCTACTATAGGTATTTTATAACAACAATTACAGGAAAACAATATATATTTTAGCCTTGCGACACACGATTTATGTTACTGGAATTAGTGAAATAATATTTTGGAAGTTGAAGCTGAGGGGTGTATTGCATGTTTTGTTGACCTCAACGTCGGGAGAATGGAGGAGGGGGGGGGGAGGGGAGGAGAGGGGGGGGTTGAGAACAAGGACATCCCTTATTCCACTTTTTGTGTTTGACAAATAGGCTACTTTGAAATGTGAATACGTAAAAACAAATAAAAAAGGAAAAAGGAACTCCACTCATTGTTATATGAATATTTATTGGGTAGAACTCACATGAAAAGTACGGACTAACAAACCATCCAATCGTGTTTAAGTTAACATGAGAAGATGGGATGGGCATCCAATCAAATGACATAATACACATTTAATTATATGTTACAAGTATTTAACAGAGATTGTTTACACACCATTTACACATGGCTATTGTGTTTGTGTTATACATGAAAACAAAAGGAACGCGTTTCTTTGGCAATTTTACCACGGCTCGGGAGTCCACGCAAACCAAAAACAAAGATATATTTGACATGTTGGCTGTAGACTGAAACAACAGCACAAGATGATTTGATCTGGCAACAGCTGAGGATGAAATTACCAGCCGTCGCTCACCGCGAGATCCTGGTCACGTGGACACGCCCACCAATCCACGGCATCGGTTCGCTGTTAAATGAAGAATAGTCATGAGCAGACGATATCCAGATGAGATCGTCTGCGTGGGGTTCGGGATACAATGGCGGCTGCACGTGCAAGTCGGTGCACGCCGGGTCGTTGCAGCAGTGTCTTTAGCGGAGTTGAAGGTTGTCCGCAGCTTGGGGTTGGTGTTGGTCATATTGGCAACTCGGTCGTGAAGTTTGGCCACATTATGCCAGCGTGGCAATTAAACGTGGAGTTTGGCCAGATCATGATAATATGACACACGGTCGTGAAGTTTGGCCACATTATGCCAGCGTGGCAAGTTGGTCGTGGAGTTTGGCCAGATCATGACAATATGACACACGGTCGTGAAGCTTGGCCACATTATGCCAGTGTGGCAACTCTGTCGTAAACTTGTTATCTTGTGCAACAGTTTAATCCAGAAGTGCCTATTGTTATTGCTATTTACTTTGCATAGGTATAATTAATAATACCACCCCCTCCTGAATCAAGTGTATTTATGCTATTGAAGACTTGTGCTCATTTAAATAACAAAATCACAAGTACAGTTTTTCTGAAGTAAAGCAACCATCACATTATTTAAGCACCTGATGAGTCAGTAAACCCAGGTAATAATTAAATCATGCTTAGGTCTAATGATTTTCCACCCCCCCCCCACCATGTACACACCCCACGCGAGAGACTCCAGTACTTTTACACTAAAGCTGATAGGGTGGGGAGGGAGGGGTCGACATGATGGCACCATGTTGTGTTGAGGGCACAATGCCTCACCTACATGATGCCCCTGCCCTGTTTTTGTGCCTCACATCATCAGATGACCTGGTGCTATTTTAGCCCTCCCCTCCCAGTTCATCAGATGACCTATTTCTGGTGTTTAATGCTCACGCCAGCCAATTGAACTAATTAAAAAACATCCAAAAAAACCAATCAAATACAGTTTTCATTACAAGTGTCAGAAATTTGGAAACATTTCACGGCTTGGATTTTCTAAATTTAGATTTCGTCTTTGTGACGTCTTGCTTGACCTTCCTGCACAGGCATCAAGTGACACTTAAGTCAGTGACACAATGGCACTAGTCACATAATGGCACTAGTCATAGCCAGTGACACAATGGCACTAGTCAAACTATAGTCAGTCACACAATGGCACTAGTCACATAATGGCACTAGTCATAGCCAGTGACACAATGGCACTAGTCAAACTATAGTCAGTCACACAATGGCACTAGTCACATAATGGCACTAGTCATAGCCAGTGACACAATGGCACTAGTCAAACTATAGTCAGTCACACAATGGCACTAGTCACATAATGGCACTAGTCATAGCCAGTGACACAATGGCACTAGTCACACAATGACACTAGTCTAGTTACATAATGGCACTAGTCACCCTTTTGTCATTGAACTACACCTATAGACTACATGACAGATGACGTCATTGTTTTGATTCCCAATGTATTTTTTAAAATTTGAATGTTTCAATTTTTTTATTTATTTTAATGACAAAAAAATCAGAATTTAGGCGACACCAGTCAGAAATGAGTTTAAAAAAAAATTCCGGACAAAAAGTCTGCTGTTGCACGTATGAATGTACTGTGATGTTGCTGTCTGTTTCCTGAACTTTCGGTGTTTAGCGCCACCGACTTGCTACACGTTCAGTCTTCTATGGGCAACGATTGGTTGACCAAATCACATTATCAACAAGCACAAGCTCTCATTGGTGAGTCTTAAAAATAGATCAACATATACATGGACTGGGTTCTGTTGCTATATTTACACCTTGTGGTACTCATGTATGGGGTCAAAGTTCAAAAGAAATGCATGTATAAGGGTTGGCCTGAGTTAGCCAACAGGTCTTGGGCGAGTTATGAGTTGACTGTACATTGTACTGTCCAGTATGTACATGACTGTGTACGGCGTACGAGCAAGTGTGTATGTACACGAGACATTCAATAGTCAACCAGCAATGGCGGCGAAGTGACGTCACTGCGCGATGGCGGCGAGATGACGTCAGTGTGTGACGACGACGACCGGAAGAGATCGAGACTCTGACGTCACGCTAGCTGGCCGGGAAAGTTCATGTTCATGACGTGCATGTTGGCTGTGAGGTGGTGTGAGCTGTACCCGGCCTGGGGGGACTGCATGTACGTGCAGGAGGAGAGCGGCCCGTGGGGGCCCTGGCTGGGGCTGGGCCTGAGACCGTACCCGGGCTGTACTGAAGACGATGAGGCCGACTGCCGTAGAGCGCAGTCGGACGGCGACTGGGCGGCCAGCCGGCATGCCGCCATCTGTGAGCTGAAACTCAACCCCGGGTTCATGTTAGGGAGGAGCGGGGAGGAGGCGGCAGCAGGGAGGAAGGAGGCTGACCCGCCCATGCGGCCGGCGGTGGGGTGGTGGTGAGGGTAGTAGACCGAGTCCCCCGGCCCGCTCATGCAAGGGCCGTAGCCCCCCGTCTTTAACCCCCCGCCGTACTGACACTGTGTCGGGGAGGGGATGGGGCTGCTCTCGCTGGGGGTCATCCGCTTGCTGCTGACGTCATGTTTCCCGGAGAGCATCTGGCACGTGGATGACGTCATCAGGTCGCTGCGGTCCTGCGAGACGTCATCGGTCGAGTCAACCTGTGACGTCAGGCGCTCCTCCTTGATGGCCTGTGTTGACGTCATCCTGTGGCCCTCCATCTTCATCACCAGCATGTCGTCAGGTCTGCTGCGCTTCACTGGATCATCTACAACACAAAGATTTCCACATCAACATTTCTGCTACCAGATCACAAAGGTTTTCACATCAACATTTCTGATACCAGATCACAAAATACAGGCCTACATGTAAGCCGGAGCGACGCGTTGTTGTTTATCAAACAGGCAGATAGAGCTAACTAAATAAAACATTTGGGAGAGCGATCTGTGCTCAATAAACAAAACTAAAAAAATATTTTTTTTTTACATTTCTATTTACATTCAATTTTTAATCTGCTCTGTTTACACATCGCGTTTCTTGTTTGCCGCTATTTGCGCTAAAAAAAAAATCCGAGTGTAAAAAACAATGCGATGAAATAAAAAAAAATGATAAAAAATAATCACTGGCATGCATTTGGCTGGGTCGTATTAAAAGCAACGCTCAAACACATCTCATTAATTATTAGCGACAAACAAAAATGGCGGATTAATACCAGTCCCTCCCTCTCACAACCACAGCGTAGGGAAAAGCCCACGTTTGGCTCATCTCTCGTCTGCTCCAACATTTCCACTTCCGCTTTTTATTTTATTTTTAAAAAGAACCTTGCCAGGTGTTTGCATCATTTCGCGCGATCCCATAATCCAATTTGCCGGAAACCGGAAGGTGTGAAAACGGACTCTGCGGAACGGAGCTCGATTGCTAGGACTAATTTCACCAGCGCATTAATATTGCAGAGAAAAGCGGCAAACTCGATCGTCTACGGTCAATTTCTTGAGGGAGAGCCCCCTCGGGAGCCGGGCTCCCAGAGCCGGGCAGATACAGAAGTGACATGTTTAAATTCTGGGCGCAGGGGAAAAGCGACAGTTTTGGCGGGAAAAGTGGTAAAGAAAATCGCGGCATGAGTTACCTACCGTGCATCGCGCGGGGCGGAAATGGTGGCAAATTGAAGAAACTCAACACTTAGGTGTATTAGAAAACACTAAGCGAGGCGAGAAGGGAAAAAAAATAACGTCTTTGTGTTTCTAAGATTAGAATTTGTAAGAAATCTGGCCAGTGTGTCGCATCGTGGACTCGCGGCCATTTTTCACAGACAGATAACAAAGTAAAAACACAAACTACTCAATGTAAGGAAAAGGAAACAAAAGAAGCAAATACCAAACATTTTCGTGTTGTCCATGTTTTTAAAACGACCGCATTTTTTCTATTTTTAACCCAACCGTTTTTTTTTTCGAATGGAATACATTTTTATACACACTTCGAATCATTAATTTTAATGCAAATATTTTCGGTCTTCTAATAAAGTGTACAATATTTTATGGAAAAAAATGCTTCAATCGTTCAAAGTTTTAAAACTAAAACTAATTGAGGTTAGAAACTAATTATCAAAATTACACGTGGCATTCAATTAATTACACTTGTGTAAGTAAGTAAAGTAGCAGTTTTATGTCCTCAAACTGTCCTTTATGTCCTCAAACTGTCATTCACGTCAGACGCCTGTCACTATTTTCCTTTTTTTTCGAATTTTAAATTTATTTTAAGTCTTTTTTTTCTAAACTACATGCCATTTATGGCCTGCATGAGCTATTTTTCTAATGTCACATGTTCTACGTGTCATGTACGTCCTACATGGCAAACACGTCCTAAATGTCATGTACGTCCTATATGCCCTATATGTCCTACTTCTCAACTATATCCTATTCGTCACTTATAATACGTATATTACATACGTTCAAATTATCATCTATATATGCCGTACATGTCATCTATGTCCTATATGCCGTACATGTCATCTATATCTTACGTGTCATCTATGCTCTACATGTCATCTGTGTCCTCCCCTCTTACCTTTCTCCCTCTCAATGTCTCCTTCCTGTGTCCTCTTCATTGGCAGCCTGTGGTCTCTGGAAAAGGCACAACTAAATTGATGAAAAAGATCAAAAGATCAGATCAAGGCACAACTAAATTGATGAAAAAGATCAAAAGATCAGATCAAGGCACAACTAAATTGATGAAAAAGATCAAAAGATCAGATCAAGGCACAACTAAATTGATGAAAAAGATCAAAAGATCAGATCAAGGCACAACTAAATTGATGAAAAAGATCAAAAGATCAGATCAAGGCACAACTAAATTGATGAAAAAGATCAAAAGATCAGATCAAGGCACAACTAAATTGATGAAAAAGATCAAAAGATCAGATCAAGGCACAACTAAATTGATGAAAAAGATCAAAAGATCAGATCAAGGCACAACTAAATTGATGAAAAAGATCAAAAGATCAGATCAAGGCACAACTAAATTGATGAAAAAGATCAAAAGATCAGATCAAGGCACAACTAAATTGATGAAAAAGATCAAAAGATCAGATCAAGGCACAACTAAATTGATGGGAAGTACCAAACTGACCAGCTAATGACCAGTACCAGACTGACCAGTACCAGACTGACCAGCTAATGACCAGTACCAGACTGACCAGCTAATGACCAGTACCAGACTGACCAGCTAATGGCCAGTACCAGACTGACCAGCTAATGACCAGTACCAGACTGACCAGCTAATGACCAGTACCAGACTGACCAGCTAATGGCCAGTACCAGACTGACCAGCTAATGGCCAGTACCAGACTGACCAGTGCCAGACTGACCAGCTAATGACCAGTACCAGACTGACCAGCTAATGACCAGTACCAGACTGACCAGCTAATGACCAGTACCAGACTGACCAGCTAATGGCCAGTACCAGACTGACCAGTACCAGACTGACCAGCTAATGGACAGTGCCAGACTGACCAGCTAATGACCAGTACCAAACTGACCAGCTAATGACCAGTACCAGACTGACCAGTACCAGACTGACCAGTGCCAGAATGCCAGTACCAGACTGACCAGCTAATGACCAGTACCAGACTGACCAGCTAATGACCAGTACCAGACTGACCAGCTAATGACCAGTACTAGACTGACCAGCTAATGACCAGTACCAGACTGACCAGCTAATGACCAGTACCAGACTGACCAGCTAATGGCCAGTACCAGACTGACCAGCTAATAGACAGTACCAGACTGACCAGCTAATGACCAGTACCAGACTGACCAGCTAATAGACAGTACCAGACTGACCAGCTAATGACCAGTACCAGAATGACCAGTACCAGACTGACCAGCTAATGGCCAGTACCAGACTGACCAGCTAATAGACAGTACCAGAATGACCAGTACCAGACTGACCAGCTAATGACCAGTACCAGACTGACCAGCTAATGACCAGTACCAGACTGACCAGCTAATGACCAGTGCCAGACTGACCAGCTAATGTCTCTCGGCATGCCAGAGTTTTAGCTCTCGTGCAATATTAATGAGGCCGATGTGGCATCGATCTGGTCCCAGGGTCCATATCTCGTGACGTCAGGCCGCTCACAGGCGCCCGTGGGAGGGGTTGGGAGGGGTGGGGCAAGGCAAGCGATCTAAATAAACTCAGTGTGCTTCAACCGTTTTTGTATTGTGTCTTAATACCAACATGCCACACTGATGTTATGTCATGTGACATCTATGTCACTATGATGACATGTGTCTTGGTACTTCCATGTCACTGTACTGTCAAGTGACATTTATGTCACCGTGATGATATGTGTCTTGGTAATTCCATGTCACGGTACTGTCATGTGACATTTATGTCAGTGTGATGACATGTGCTTGGTACTTCCATGTCACAGTACTATACTCTCACATTACATCAACTGTCACAGTAGTATGAAATACCAAGTTACTCTCATACTTTACAGCACTGCTAAATGTAATAGTTCCCGCGAGATGTCATAGTAGATCTGATGTCACGTAGGTACTGTGTCACGTGACTGATGTACTTACTTCCTGCCCAGGCCGTTGTCACGGAAACCTTTAGCGAACGGGTTGTGGTCGATTTTCAACTGGGTGATCTGAAATAAACACAAGGTCAAGGTTTGATACACAGGTCTGAAATAAACACATACAGGGCAAACAAAATATTTCACAGGTTTAAATTTCGTCTCTGCACTTGGTACAATTGTGAACTTTGTTAAAATAGTTACTTTTTCCTCATTGGTTATTTTAACCCTTATCTAGAAGCCGATACAGGGGCGGAACTACCATACCGCCAGACCCCGCAATGCGGGGGGCCCAGGACGTGTAGGGGCCCAGTTCCGACCAAAAAACAATGAATTTTTTTTACAGAAATTATGTTTTTCATGCATCTTGAAAGTGGTTTTGTAAAAAAAACAACAACAGGTCTACTATAGCAGAGATTGTTGCGTAGAAAAATAATTTAAAATCTACAAGAGCTATAGTTTGAAAGGTAGGTAAACATTCACACTACTTCCATGACTTACTGCCCTTCTTTAAAATAGGGATGCCCACTAAGCTCATTTGAATAGTTTTGTACTATGTATATTAAAAAGAAATTAATTCTCTGAATTGTTACTTAAATAAGACGTACTATACAATAGTATAGCTATAGAAATCAATGTTTTCAAAATTGATATTATAAAAGCCGAAAATGAAAAAAAAAACATAACGCGAGAAGCCATTCACGAATCAAGCTAACGTCTTTATATATTTTTGACCATCATATTTATGACGGTGCTGTACTTTATGATTGGTTTCGACTAAATTTTTCCCGGTTTGTTCTCTCAGAATGGTTATATATTGCAATGAAATAGATTAAATTACGCAGTTATGATATATATATATATATATATATATATATATATATATATATATATATATATATATATATATATATATATATATATATATATATATAGGGGGCCCTAATTTTTTCTTTGCGGGGGAGCCTTTTATTTCTAGTTCCGCCACTGAGCCGATAACGAATATTTTCCTGCGTATTAAAACTACGCACAAACATGTGAATTGTACCCCCCCCCCCACTAACTCTAGAGAAAAGAGCCGCACTTATAATGTAAAGAGCTATATATGGCTCCCTGCAAGTTTACGGCTCCGTGTGAACGTGAACGTCTGAGTTCGTTCAACCAATCAAGGGAGGGCGTTGAACCCCGGAAGCCGGTAAAGACGGAAGCCGGTATAGACGGAAGCCGGTATAGATGAAGCCGGCAAAACAGATGCAGACAAAACTAAACGTGGAAGAAGGGTAATAACGTACACTTAGCCTGTAAAACAACAACTGAAAGACTACAGCTTCAACAATCAGCAGGTAAAAAACGGCTCCCACGGCCGAAGCAACTCTAAAACTGCACAGCCCTGGCAGGCCAGAGCAACATGCATGCAGTGACATGGGCAGTCAGTTTTATGGCGTCACGTTGACAGGCGGGCTGGACGAAAGATTAAAGCAATTAGCTCAGATGGAGGGGGCACCCGCGCCCGGCCTAACAGCTCTTGTCATAAACCCCGTTTGATGATCTCTCAAGGTGATGTGGTTATGGCCCTTTTTTCCTGCACGTAACACGGTGGCGATCGGTGCGCATGCCCAGACGTCACGTGAGGTGTCATTTTGTTGTTTTGACCCAGGTTCAAAGCACGGCCGGGACAAAGCGAGGGCCGGGGATGCTGGTTCCATAGCAGACATTCATGGCTGGCAAGAAACAAGGTGTCTCATACCTCCTGCGAGACATAGGCTGTTTTTTTTTCTCCCCATAGTTTTTATTTGCTTGTGTCATTGATCTCTTGGAAAATGGACCATAAAACTATGGTAAAGAACAGATGTTGTTGTACTAGTAGTAGACCCGTGGTCTGTGGTCTGTACGGAGAAGATGGTGATACATACAGCTAGCCAGTTACACGATGCAGTTTACAACGAAAATTTAGAACCTAATTTATTTTTATAAATGTATTGTTTCCAAGTTTTTTTTAGATAAGTAATTTTGTTGAACAATTTTTAAAATTAAATACAATTCGATTCAAATTTAGGGATAATTGGGATTGGGCGTAAAAAAAAAAGAAAAAAATAACTTGATAGGTTGCTGGACAGATTGTATTAAAAAAACTGAAAAGTTTTCTCTGCTATTCCTTGGACTCTATGCTATTCTGTGGACTTTTTGTAAGTAAAAAAAAAGAAAACCAACAATACAGAAAAGCCAACGTGATGGACCACTTAGAGTAACCGTCACACACGAAAAAACAACTTCTAGCGTAAAGGACAACATAGCGAGGGTGCTGCTGTTCTAAAGCAAGCCCAGCAGAAGAGAGAGAAAATTGATCTGGCCACTTGACTCACCTGTTCGTTCTGGTAGGCTGTGACGGCGATGAAGGTCGTCTCCTCGAATGAGTAGGTGTTGAAGGTGTTCCACCGCATGGTGAAGATGTCGTTGGCCTGTACCACGTGCAGGCGCGGCTGGTACTTGTGCATGGAGTTGAGAATGATCTGGAAGCAAAATGTGGAGCAGAAGTTAGAGTTGAGAATGATCTGGATTCAAAATATGTAGTAGAATTTGAATACAACATTTGAAAGACTAGCGGAGTTTCTGTATGGGTTTAAGAATTATTTTGAACCCCCAAAAAAAATGTTTCAGATTTTAATTGAAAAGACAATTTTGTCGAACGTGCTGCCCCGATGTACGTGTTCCGGTGTTTTAATTGTTTTGGGTGACGTCACCGTCGTCTGCTCCAGGTGAAATCGGAGTGCTGTGTTAGGTATCCACGAACTTTCCGCCTCACGTTACCTGCCAGATCTCGGCGTGTCACCCCCCCCCCCACCCCCAGGTAAGATAAAGATAAGGCTGCACCCAAGGCCACGGGCCACCCCTGTTGCGGTGCTGATACCCAAGCCGGAAAACTAGTCTTAATGACGGCATAAAGCACACGGCGGGGGCGTCGGGAGGCGTCTTTGGAGCACATAAATTTGTCATGCTCGTGGCCCGGTGACGGCCTGCAATAGGCGACCATTCTTTTTTACCCGGGGCTCTGGGGAATCCTCGGTGGTTTACGACATTCCGTACGTCCGAGAAGGCAAGGAGGCTGAGCCTGCTGGTTGTACGGCTGGCTACTGACACGACTTTTATGTCCAATCATGGACTGGGGGACACCCAATCTAAAACTTCGTGTGTCCCCGTGGCGTGGGGGAAAGGCTAGGTAGTAAGATGGTTGGTAGCAGGATGGTTGGTAGCAAGGTGGTTGGTAGCAAGATGGTTGGTAGCAAGATGGTTGGTAGCAAGATGGTTGGTAGCAGGATGGTTGGTAGCAAGATGGTTGGTAGCATGATGGTTGGTAGCAAGATGGTTGGTAGCAGGATGGTTGGTAGCATGATGGTTGGTAGCAAGGTGGTTGGTAGCATGATGGTTGGTAGCAACGTAGTTGGTAGCAAGATGGTTGGTAGCAAGGTGGTTGGTAGCAGGATGGTTGGTAGCAAGATGGTTGGTAGCAAGATGGTTGGTAGCAAGATGGTTGGTAGCATGATGGTTGGTAGCAGGATGGTTGGTAGCAAGATGGTTGGTAGCAAGATGGTAGCAAGATGGTTGGTAGCAAGGTGGTTGGTAGCAGGATGGTTGGTATCAGGATGGTTGGTAGCAAGATGGTTGGTAGCAAGATGGTTGGTAGCAAAGTGGTTGGTAGCAGGATGGTTGGTAGCAAGGTGGTTGGTAGCAAGATGGTTGGTAGCAAGGTGGTTGGTAGCAAAATGGTTGGTAGCAAGATGGTTGGTAGCAAGATGGTTGGTAGCAAGGTGGTTGGTAGCAAAATGGTTGGTAGCAAGGTGGTTGGTAGCAGGATGGTTGGTAGCAAGGTGGTTGGTAGCAAAATGGTTGGTAGCAAGATGGTTGGTAGCAGGATGGTTGGTAGCAAGATGGTTGGTAGCAGGATGGTTGGTAGCAAGATGGTTGGTAGCAAGATGGTTGGTAGCAAAATGGTTGGTAGCAGGATGGTTGGTAGCAAGGTGGTTGGTAGCAAGATGGTTGGTAGCAAGGTAGTTGGTAGCAGGATGGTTGGTAGCAAGATGGTTGGTAGCAAGGTGGTTGGTAGCAGGATGGTTGGTAGCAAGATGGTTAGTAGCAAGATGGTTGGTAGCAGGATGGATGGTAGCAGGATGGATGGTAGCAAGATGGTAGCAAGATGGATGGTAGCAGGATGGTTGGTAGCAAAATGGATGGTAGCAGGATGGATGGTAGCAAGATGGTTGGTAGCAGGATGGTTGGTAGCAGGATGGTTGGTAGCAAGATGGTTGGTAGCAAAGGTGGTTGGTAGCAAGATGGTTGGTAGCAGGATGGTTGGTAGCAGGATGGTTGGTAGCAAGATGGATGGTAGCAGGATGGTTGGTAGCAAGATGGTTGGTAGCCTGGATGGATGGTAGCAAGGTGGTTGGTAGCAAGATGGATGGTAGCAAGATGGTTAGTAGCAAGATGGTTAGTAGCAGGATGGATGGTAGCAAGATGGTAGCAGGATGGTTGGTAGCAAGATGGTTGGTAGCAAGATGATTGTTAAAAAAATTGCTGGTAGCAAAATGCGATTAGATAGGTATCAATTAAGTAGGTCGAAAATTGATTGGTGACGCTTTAAATAGTTCATAATCAACTTTGAGAGGACGCCAACTGCTGTTCAATATAATTAGAAAAAAAAAATCTAATAAACAGATTGAATAATTCTACAAAAAAATCGGGTCCTGCATAAATTATCAGACAGATATTCTGATTGGTTGTCCTACATCTTCACCTGGCGAATGCCTAATTTTAAACCAATTTCCACGACCTGTCTCACTCTCGTGTGTAGCGCAACAAACAGTTGGCGAGTTGGTTTTGGGTTGTTGTTGATGTATTTTTAATATCGGGAAACATGCCGTTTAAAAAAAAAACGCTAGCGAAGTGAGTGCAATGGGACATTTCTTGGAAAGCTAAGCGTTTCGGGAATCTCCTGAATAATTGAATCGAACCACAGCCAGCTTTTCAATGGGCGCATTCAAAAATCTATGCTAATTTGTTTTGTGATTTCGATAAAGCAGCAGTTGTGTGGGAAGGAGTTTGGTGAAGGGATGGGAAGGGCGTGGAGGATTCACTAAATTTTTTAAAAAATTATCTTTTCTCTGGCAAATCAAATAAACCAACAACATATTGAGTTTCAATGAATACGGGTGTACTGGCTAATAAAACAAACCAACAACATATTGAGTTTCAATGAATACGGGTGTAATATGGTAGCCGGCAAAATATTTTCCTTGTTGGTTGGCGGCGCCGGATGCGATTGACAAGTTGTGTTTGTTGGATGACGGAGGGCCGCCTAGATGCAGGGCCACTTCAGGCAACACATGGCGCATCTAACATTGGAAGCACAGTTGTGTGCTCACTAGAGCAGTGCTGTTGTGTGCTCACAAGGGCAGTGCTGTTGTGTGTTCCCGGAAGCTGCGCAGTGGTTCACTTATCAACCAACAGAGCACGGTCAACACAAGAGGACACAACCATGCTAAAACACGTTGCTTCTACTCCAACTACATGTAACCAGATACAACAAAACAAAAAATATTTTAAAAATAGAGAAATTCGATGTTTTAAAGTAAAATCGAACATAAAAATAGATATATTTGGCCTCACAGCAAGATAAATGTGTTGTGACACGAAAAAAAAAAAAGAAAAAAAAAACCCAACACAAAAAGCTACCAACAAAAAAAAAACAACACATCTTGATATAACGCTACAGAACGTTCCCGAACTGTCCTCTCCCGGCCACTCAAATCTACAATCTACAATCTCTAATCTTCTTTGTATCCTACGTCTTTTGGTCTAAGGAGCGGACATCTGTCGTCCAAATGACTGGAGATCGCTCGAACGTTTTCAATTAAAGGCGGTTAGGAACAGTTGACAATGATTAATGTTAATAATGTATGCAAATTTATGTCCAAAACTCACAAAATATTTGCCACGGATATTTTTTTGGGGCATGCAGTAAAAATAAACTTCGGATAATAATAAATTTACTGCGATAAAAATATTTGTTATTGTCATTTAATGAAATATTCTAATCATTACAGATATCACATATATTATGACCATAATTATTCACACTATTGTCGTTATTATCTTTATCGTTATTATAATTAGCATTATCATAGTTATACCATTATCTAAACTACTGCGTATCACGTTTACATTGTCGTTGTTACATAGCTCCCCCACTATTAAAGGAAATGTGGAAAAAGAGAGGTCATAGGTTAAGGAAACTGGCAACAAGTATTAACAGACGCGGCATACGATGGAATCATCAGAATCAAGAAAAAGAGGGAGATCCAAAAACAGCGTGCGCAGAGTAAATTGAACACGACATGAAAATTATTGAAAGAGTTGAAAAAAGATGGTAAAATAACAAAGGGCCGAGAAGCATGGAAGAATGTTGTAAATGGCTCATGCTCCACTTTGGAATGAAAAAGGCAAAAAACAATCCTATTGTAATATGGTACAACCACTGAGCACCGTAAAGTGCATCAACAATAAAGTACCCTGCCGTAAGGCGTTCACAAAGCGCCCCAGGGTAAAGTGTTTTAACCACAAAGTACTCAGCCGTAAAGTGCACCCGCTACACTGCACCGTAGCTGCGTCGTAAAGGGGTACACAGCACCGTAGCTGCGTCGTAAAGCGGGCACACAGCATCTTAGCTGCATCGTAAAGCGGGTACACAACACAGTAGCTGCGTCGTAAAGCGGGTACACAGCACTCTAGCTGCATCGTAAAGCGGGTACACAGCACTCTAGCTGCGTCGTAAAGCGGGTACACAACATCATAGTTGCGTCGTAAAGCGGTACACAACACAGTAGCTCGTAAAGCAGGTACAAATGGACGGACACCAAATATGTTGATGACACGCTACGATGCTAAACATACGTGTGAAAGGTCACTGTCCTTGACCTCGTCGTGGCCCAGCAAGATGGCGATAGTGTTCTGATCTATCGTCTCGGAGCACGGCTATTACGCCGTGTCGGCGAAGATATGTGCGCCCAAGTCAACGGTCGTCTGTCGGTATATCAAACACTCCCAGAGGGGAGCGAACTTATCAATTTTCGTTTTGCCTTCTCGCGAATTCTCGTGCGCGCGATATGAATATTAATTCCCCTCGCGTGAGTCGCTAAAGTTATCGGCCTTGCCTGACTCATCTCGCTGGCCTACTCGCTTCTGTTTTGCATTTCTCGCTAACACGAGCAGCCATTTTGGAAAGTCCTCCGGGAATTCCCCCAAGATGGTGCCCTGACTGCTAAAGGGGGCTCTATCAACGGGAACCATTTTGTCTTGTCAGGGCAGATGCGGGAGGCAGACCCGTATCTCGGTGTCACGCTCGCTCGCTGTCACGTCGTTGGTGGCATTTAAATGCCATTGATTTGTAACGTGATACGGAGCCTGAGGGAGCGCTCTTCAAACCAGGTAAACTTTTTAAAACTAGCCTCCCTTTTAAAAAGTAGCTTTAGATCCAAAGTTTATCAGCATAATGGAGGCGAGCGACTTGACGAGATTCCTTCCATAATGTTGTTGTCATGGAATAAAAACGTGTTTTTTTTAGATTTAGACCGTAAAAAAAAAATAAAAAATAAAAACTTAAGCCTAAAATTAATTTAGAAATTTTATATTCTTAGAATAAATGCTATAAAAGTTGCAAATCCAGAGAACTTGAAAATAATTTGTTGAGTTTAAGGCTACATTTCTATTTATTTTCATCAAGCCTAAGTTATAACCGGATGTTTCACTTTCGTAAGACAAATATTGATTGGCTGTACAGTAACTTAGTGATCGATAACTATTTGTTTACAAAACTTTGCAGATCAAGTTTTTAAATAACAATGCAAATTTAAAACCCCATGACCTAGTTTTCTATTTTTAGCTTACAATGTGTACAATAAAATCTATGGCAGCCTATCCAATAGCAGGATGCCATGTTTATGTCGCCATTACACGTGAAAACCAAATTGTTTTTGCTTTTTTTAAAATTTTTATTTAGTTACCGAAAATATTATAAACATCAAATACATCCAATCTTTAGTAAAGTCCGAAAAAAACCAGACAGGCAGGATTTTATAACCATATTAATTGTAAATACGCTGTGCATGATTTTTAAATGAATTTATACACCTCTCAAATACCTTTGAGACTTTTCTCGCTGGTGTCCATTGGGTCCAATCAAATTATAACGATTCGACCTAAGGCCTACATTAGAAACATTACTCAAACATAACAAATGTGAACATCTTCAAAAAGATCTATGTGATTAGGTTTTTTATATCGATGTTTTTATTCAAAGAAGTAAAGTAGTGAACCCCCCACCCCTACCCACTCCTCAGCGGGGGAACTTGACCCCCCCCCCCCCCCCCCCACCTTCCAAATGTTATTAGACTTGCAATTGGGGTATCTAAGGATATGGTATAGATCCTATGGTTAAGTATACAAAGGAGAGAAAACTTAAGTAGTCATGAAGGTAGTAGTAGGAACCGTTGGCTATCTATCTTTCCCACTACAGTTGGTGTGGTAGTTGTAATTGTTTTTTTTTCTTCTAGGCAACAGTGTGGTTAGTGGCTGTAGAATAATCATCGCTGTAGTTATATATATATATATATATATATATATATATATATATATATATATATATATATATATATATATATATATATATATATATTACAAACAACTATCAAGGTTTGCGAACAAAATATTTTTTAATAAAATCATAACAATGTTGACTTTCAAAAGTTGTACCCTGAAATGTTGTTGGTTCAAAGCTGTACGATAATAATGTTGATGTTCCAGACAATGATATTTCAAACAATGTTGATGTTTCAGACGATGACACGTAGATGCATTCTGGGAGCAGGGAGTGTCACGTGACCTCGGCTATGCTCCACATCGTTTAAAGAGCAGTTAAAGGCGACGAGACCGGGGTTTGCATCCCCACCCCCGGGCATGAATGCCATCTCCGTGCCTAGCCGGGCCCCACACACTGTGGCATTAGGGTACGGCCGGGCGTGAAAACACGTCAGTCCCGGGATTGTCACGTGGTATACCCCACGTGAACAGTATGTCGGACATTGACAGAGATGTTCTAAAACAGGGTGGGCCGGGCATGTCATGCGTGGGGTGGGGGCCGTCACGAGTCGGGTGGGGGAGAGGGTATGACAGTAATTCAAGCGATCATCGTGTACACAGCGGTAAGGATAAAGGAAAAATATGCTATAATGTATCGTCTTTTTATGTTTTAATGTTTGTGTGTGTGTAGAACCCTAGCTACGACCAGCACTAGCTGTCAGACCCGGTCAACGTTTTTATACGGGCAGTTTACGTCAGAAGCTCGTGTTTTATGGGCACGAGTTATCCCTCGTTAATAGACCGAGAATTACCATGTTGAGTTATCCTTCCTTACTTGATAATTTTACTTCATTGTGTAGTTAAACTACGTTGATATATAATATATTATATATGTGTGTATGTATGTAAAAATAATTATGTCATTTTTAAGTAAAAGCAATACTTAAAATAACACCGGTGATACTGCAAGTGAGCAGGAATTATTTTTGGATGTTATCAGAAGGTTCAAACTACTACATTTGATGTTTAAAGAAGAAAACTCGATAAAATGGAAACAAGTTCCCAGAAACAAGTACTCCGAAAAAAGATCTTGATCAAATAATAATCATTAAGATAGTCGAAATATCTATCAGTGCAAATGACCTAGTTGAAATACTTCTCAATGTAAAAGACCTAGCTGAAATACCTCTCAACGTAAAAGACCTAGCTGAAATACCTCTCAACGTAAAAGACCTAGCTGAAATAACTCTCAATGTAAAAGACCTAGCTGAAATACCTCTCAATGTAAAAGACCTAGCTGAAATACCTCTCAACGTAAAAGACCAAGCTGAAATACCTCTCAATCTAAAAGACCTAGCTGAAATACCCCTCAGTGTAAAAGACCTAGCTGAAATACCTCTCAACGTAAAAGACCTAGCTGAAATACTTCTCAATGTAAAATACCTAGCTGAAATACCTCTCAAAGTAAAAGACCTAGCTGAAATACCTCTCAATGTAAAAGACCTAGCTGAAATACCTCTCAAACTAAAAGACCTAGCTGAAATACCTCTCAAAGTAAAAGACCTAGCTGAAATACCTCTCAATGTAAAAGACCTAGCTGAAATACCTCTCAAAGTAAAAGAGCTAGCTGAAATACCCCTCAATGTAAAAGACCTAGCTGAAATACCCCTCAATGTAAAAGACCTAGATCTAGCTGAAATACCCCCCAATGTAAAAGACCTAGCTGAAATACCTCTCAACGTAAAAGACCTAGATCTAGCTGAAATACCCCTCAATGTAAAAGACCTAGCTGAAATACCTCTCAAAGTAAAAGACCTAGCTGAAATACCTCTCAAAGTAAAAGACCTAGCTGAAATACCTCTCAATGTAAAAGACCTAGATCTAGCTGAAATACCTCTCAAAGTAAAAGAGCTAGCTGAAATACCCCTCAATGTAAAAGACCTAGCTGAAATACCCCTCAATGTAAAAGACCTAGATCTAGCTGAAATACCCCTCAATGTAAAAGACCTAGCTGAAATACCCCTCAATGTAAAAGACCTAGTTGAAATACCCCTCAACGTAAAAGACCTAGCTGAAATACCCCTCAATGTAAAAGACCTAGCTGAAATACCCCTCAATGTAAAAGACCTAGCTGAAATACCCCTCAATGTAAAAGACCTAGTTGAAATACCCCTCAACGTAAAAGACCTAGCTGAAATACCCCTCAATGTAAAAGACCTAGCTGAAATACCTCTCAATGTAAAAGACCTAGTTGAAATAAATCTCAAAGTAAAAGACCTAGTTGAAATGGCTACAGGACATTACCCCCCTGGATATTTCCCCCCCCCGGACATTTCCCCCCGTATTTACCCCCCCGGAGCAATTACCCCCCTGTCAATTACCCCCTGTCAATTACCCCCCCCCCCCCCCCCGGGAATTACCCCCCCCCCCTCTCAAGTTAAAATCCTAACTCTAACAAGAATTTTATACCTATATACTACTTTAATCCAAACCTTAAGAAAAAGACCAAAACATAAGCATCCACCTTAGCCTAAACTTCACACAAAACCAAAATCAAATCTAGACACAACCCTAACCCTAACACTAGCTCTAACCCTAACCCTAACCCTAGCCCTAACCCTAACCCTAACCCTAACCCTAGCCCTAGCCCTAGCCATAAACCTAACCCTAAACCCAGCCCTAGCCATAAACCTAACCCTAAACCCAGCCCTAACCCTAACTCTAACCCTGTCCGGGGGGGGGGGGGGGGTAATGTCCTACTGGGCGGGGGGTAATTGACAGGGGGGTAATTGACAGGGGGGGTAATTACTCTGGGTGGAAATATCCGGGGGGTAATTGACAGGGGGGAAATGCCCTGTTCCCAGTTGAAATACCCCTAAATGTAAAAGACGTAGCTGAAATACCCCTCAATGTAAAAGACCAAAAGTCAACTCACGTGTCCGTTTTGGTCCAGATTGTTGTTGGTCAGCTTGAGCTTGTGGAAGGTGACCGGCTGCTTCATCCAGTGGCCCCCCGAGGCGGGGGAGTCGGGGTGGATGTACAGGCGCCCCGGCATGTGGGGCTCCGCCTTGCCCGTCACCACCCACTCCGAGTTGTGGTACTTGTAGCGGCAGTCGTCCACGGGCACGATGTCCACCAGCAGGATGTACTTGGCGTGAGGGTCAAGGCCGTCCAGCGTGACCTTCATGGTGGGGAACATCCGGCTGAGTAGATAAAAAGGTCAAGGTTGATATGAGGGTCAAGGTTAGTGTGACTATCAAGTGTTATGTGAAGGTCAACACTGATATAACGGTCAAGTAGTTTCATGACAGGGTCGAGACTTCGTGCTGTTGAATGTCAGTAAAGTAAGATCTATGGCGACAATACACAAATCAATAATTGTCTTCACTTGTGAGTTAAGTGTTGTTGAGTTTTTGTAGCAGTTTTTTTTTTAAACAAATCTACCCGATCGTCAGAGGTTAAGATTATGGTAGGGGCTTGTGAGTGAGTAGCGTCACTATTTTTATAGTCCCCCCTTTACACGCTGGGATTTGTTTACCCAAAAATATCTATATCCGGTTTTGCTGATGTCTCTATGTCCGACTTAAGGGGCATTCGATTATGACATACCAAACTTTAGAACAAGTTAGTTTTGTTTTAGTGCTTTCAATGAATTAAAAGCTTGTGGTTATACAAATTTTAATATTACTCTATTTAAAATTAAAATCAGCACTTAGTACATAGAACATCAATGTATTAGGACCTTTTTAAAAACTAGTATTTGAAGTATCAAATGTGGTGGCCATTTTACAAAATCGTCTCCCTTATATAAAATAACAAATGCGGATATTTTTACAAAATTGTCTCCCTTCTATGAAATAACAAATACGGATGTTTTTTTTTATTATCTCCCTTCTATGAAGTATAAAATGTGGATATTTTACAAAATTGTCTCCCTTCTACCGCAGAAATAAACGTCATCGGGGATCAATCTCTCGAATCAACCCGAAGACGGCGGTTATTGAGGGTGAGACATCGAAAGCTCAGAGATCAATAACAGCCCCCACTAAATGATTGATCAGCCCACTCGAAACCCTCGGCCATTGTGTAGGCCCCAGACGGCACGCGACCGCCTAAAATAGAGTCAAGAGCGCGAGGCGCCACCAAGATGAGGCACCACGCGCCGTCCTTGCAACAGTAGGACCGTTGACAGGACTCGGCTATAGCAACGGTGACCACTGGTGGTCAGTTGTGGTCAACTGGTGGCCCAATTCCCTGGAAACCGCGGCGACTGACGTCAATTACAGACCAGCAGACGGTGCTGTGAATGGACGTCCCGCTAGAGGGCGCTTGAGCCAATTCGAAGGTAAACACAAAGGCGTCGTTGAGATTCACAACGTAACAGCTTTTAGTCGCGTCGTGGGCGCCGATACAAGAGTCAGTTGGAAGAGTGGTCGAACAATTAAGCAACTTTACACCTCGGTATGTCGATGTGTGTCTACTACAATTTGTCAACATTCTTAAAAAAACGTAAAATCTATATAAGAAAATAAAAGACTAAAAAGAAATTAATATCAACACAAAAATAACTGGATAAATGTTAATCCAACTTAGATAATCTGTAATAATTAGAGGCTTTAAATCATTTTTTAAAAAAAAGGTAAATTTTGAATTAGAGCTGGTAGTATATCATTTACACTGATCAAGGTACGCTTAGCGTCAACTGTTACGTAATGAGTAGATCCGGAAATGATGCAAAATCCAGGCTTATTAAATCTGACTTAAGTCACAACCTGCGGCAGTCAACTTTTTTTTGTAACAGCTTATCTTTTCAAACATGTGGATAACCCCCCCTCAACCCTCCCCCCCCCCTGTAAGACTTGACGCCCTAGTTGACCACCCGCGCGCCAGCGACACACCCACCACATGCAAAGCGCAACTGGAGTTAGCGCCCAATTAGGGAGATACCCGCTAACTAAAAGACACCGTGGCCGGATGCCGGTCGTATGACCCGGCATGAGACCGGATGCCGGCCGTGTGCCCCGGCGTGCGTGTACGTCTGCTGACTGGCCCACGCTGTGCACGTGTGTGACGTCATTGTCCGGCCCGGGGGGACTTCGCTCCGTGCCGCCATTGTCCGTGATGCAAACGATGGACTGACCACTAGCTGACCAGCGGAAGTAAATCTGTTCGGGGTCCAGCATTCTCATTTTTTAAATCTCCTGGATTAGTGTAGTGAGTTATTTAGAGCTAGTCGCTGTTGTGTGTTTACAATGTCATGTTACATTTTACAAATTGCGCATTGTTAGTTAGAGGGCTATGTGGGGGGGGGGGGGGGGGAGAAGGAGGAGGGGAGGATGTTTCAATGCTATTTATGCATTCGACGCTCCCCCATCTCAACAATCTACTGATGCACCTGTTTCAATGTGTTTTCAACAATCTACTGATGCACCTGTTTCAATGTGTTCTCAACAATCTACTGATGCACCTGTTTCAATGTGTTTTCAACAATCTACTGATGCACCTGTTTCAATGTGTTCTCAACAATCTACTGATGCACCTGTTTCAATGTGTTTTCAACAATCTATTGATGCACCTGTTTCAATGTGTTTTCAACAATCTACTGATGCACCTGTTTCAATGTGTTTTCAACAATCTACTGATGCACCTGTTTCAATGTGTTCTCAACAATCTACTGATGCACCTGTTTCAATGTGTTCTCAACAATCTACTGATGCACCTGTTTCAATGTGTTTTCAACAATCTACTGATGCACATGTTTCAATGTGTTTTCAACAATCTACTGATGCACCTGTTTCAATGTGTTCTCAACAATCTACTGATGCACCTGTTTCAAAGTGTTTTCAACAATCTACTGATGCACCTGTTTCAAAGTGTTTTCAACAATCTACTGATGCACCTGTTTCAATGTGTTTTCAAGGAATTTGACGCCAGCACACGTTGACTTATAATCTGCCAATTATTATCTCTGTTCGATTAGGTAGTCATTTATTTTAACAGGCCTTTTTGCCGCACCTCAACTAGTGCGCCCTCGGCTGTCGCGCACTGTCCTTATGTAACTATCAGGGTAAATGAGGATGTGGCGCAAGGTGTTGGTGACTGGGTCTATGTGGTCGGGTGGAGAGGGGGGGGGTGGTAGCGAGAAATTGTATCTCTAAATACAAGAGAATCATTGCATCTAAATACAAATGAATCATTGCATCCCATGCACCGGGCTAATGAAAACACGCTGTGGGCAACAAAAACATTTTTCTTCTGAAGATGAAAATGATTTATATCAAACCAAAATCATCGAGGGAGCGGTAATTATTTGAACAGATGCTCACCTCTATTAGCCACACATCTCGCTGATGACCCCCCTCCCCCATCAACCACACACCCCCCCCCCCCCACCCACACGAGATAAAACTAATTAACCGATTGTCCTAACGAGGCGCGTGCTTGGTCCGTCATGGCGTCACGCTCCCGCCCCACCTGTGGGCATCGGCTCCGTTTTCACGTGCAGACCCGAGTCACGTGCGCGGTGTTGACGTCACGAGGTCAGGTCCGGCTCACAACCTGTGCACGGCCTGTCACAACAATCAGGTGATACAAGGGTGAGCAGTGCTTGACGCAACAAGAGGACGACAGGGAGGTAATTACTGGGGGGGGGGGGGGTGTGGGGAGAAATCTGAGACAGGACACATAGGGGGGGGGGCAGGGGAGGAAACAAAGAAGATTTACAAGTGATCTTCGTAAACATAATTGCATAAAAGTTGCATATCATTAAGACATATTATGCAACAACGTGGGACGTGATATGGGGTATCAATTTGGGTACAAAACATTTACTCTACATAATTAGTATCTCACAATTACATGGTTCATTTAATCGACATGATTAGTTTTTTTAGAATTATAATGGTTTATTTAATCTACATAATTAGTTTCCATCATTTTTACATTGGTTCATTGGTCCACAAAAACAAAAAAATGTCAGCATTTCCGAAAATAACAAGTAAAAAAAAAAATTGCTCTCCATAATGCAAAACTAAGGAAACTACAAATCCTTGATTTTACTTTGTGGAAAACTTAAATTACCCTCAACCAAATGCTGCCCCCCCCCCCTTTACACCACCGTTTAACGCACGTGTACACGGGTCACAGGTCAGGGGTGAGCTATAGATAAACCATGAAGACGTGACCGTTATGACGTCTGCAACAAAAGGCCCTCCCTTACAGCCGGGGATGAACGATTCAACCTGGCGACAGCACAGTTTAGCACGTGACGTGAACTTTTGATCAACTCGCATCAACGTCATCGGAATGAACATAACCAACCGTTACCATGGCAACTAACGTCTTACCCCAATTGATCAAATTGAATATTAAAAAAAAAACAACAATTTAACAAAATTTAAGTTTTACAGTAGAAAATCGATATTTTTAAAATAATGATCGATGTTTGAGGCTACACCATGTGTGAGTATGATTTAGATGACTTGCATGACTTAGATAATGAGTGCTGTAGGGAACAAAGACAACAAGGCCTGCGCACCGAAGTGCGCAAATGGACGGGTTTTTACGAGGCGTGAAATTGGTTTTACGTTAATTTTGGCGATTGTGGTGGCCATGAAGTTTTATAATTTAGATTGGGTTTGATGATAAGTTAGTGCGCACAGTTCAACGGAGAAATAACATGACTGTAGGCATTAGGCATACATACATGCATGGGGTCATTTAAGGCTGTAAAGATATATAGAATAATAAATAAATAAATAAATACATACATACATAAATACAAAAGTGCATAAATTTATATATATATATATATATATATATATATATATATATATATATATATATATATATATATATATATATATATATATATATATATATATATATATATATATATATATACACTTAATTGAAATACACGCCTTTTGGATCTATGAGCTCTATGGCTATGCTGACTATATGTAAACGCTATTAATGTAATTCTATTGATAACTCGGTGGATATAATATTGGCCCTATAACGCATGTACTTGTGGACTGTAAAATATAATGGTTTCATTAGAATAAATCATCGCGAAATAGCATTGTATTAATATTTTTACAAAATCACTTTAAAAACTATAAACCGCAATGTAAATTTTAATTAGGCATTTCCATTAGACCTCGCGATTCTAACAAAATCCACTGATTAAACAAACCAAGGT